AGTACTTGTAATTCTTTAGTAGTACCGCCACTACCACGATTTTTATCACAATTGAACTCACCAAAATCGATCTAAATTCATAAAAGTAGATACCGTTTTTTAAGTTGTTTAAGAAATATATTAACTTCAAGTATCTTGTTRATGCGTCATACCTGYGCCATTAAAGCAGCTAGCTCCAATGCAAGCTCTTTAGTAAGTGGGAATCTGCCTTGGACCACCTGTTGATTTACTTGATAACAAAGCAATAATCTCTCTCGATCAGWTTCCTTTTTCACAAATGATTTGAAGTACAGTCTGTTCTTGAAAATCAGTCGTATGACTCTAGTGTTTTCAAATTTTCCAGAACCCTTTTCACGCAATGCTGTTTCCCACTTGGATATCACATCACACAACTATAAAATAATAGATAATTGTATATTTATTACTTAAGTGACTCAAATAATAGTATCTAACCTTGGCTTGGGATTCAATATAGTGTTCCAGGTCTTTTTCAATAGGATCATCGCTAAACAATGTGAAACCTGAATGTTGACTATCTCGGCATCCAGTTTCTTGATTAAGCGTGCACAAAAACTCTTCAATAGTTGTTGATCCATCGAAACCAACAACCTTCAAAACCAAAATAATTATTAATAAAATACTGAGGTAATAAAAATGCATTACTATTTGATCATAATTCATTCGTTTTCTATACCTGGTAAGTCCCATTRAGCATATGAACGGGTATGGAGTGGGGCAATGAATGGTGATAAGGATTTTTCAATAAAATTGACAGTACTTCCATTCTGGATGGTTTCACTTCTCGTGTGCCATTCAATATTGTTCGTTCAAGGGCGCGTTCACAGTATGCAGCATATTTTCCACATTCAGTCCTAGACAAGATAAATAATCATTCCAACTCCACGCCACTATTATTAAATGTTTACATACTTGTTATCAATATTGCGTTTCAGATGCAATTTGAGAAACCAAAGAAGTTTGGTGTTTTTTGGTACAAATAGAGACACAGCCAATGCTAATAATTGCCAACCCTGAACAAATACGTAGGTAGGAGGATTGGCTTTGCAGTGGTCTAGTAATGATGAAGTGGCTGGACTTGAGGGTGCAGTAATGCTGTGGTTTGGTGATCCAGGCACCACTGACTGAGTTGTGCTGATGGTGGGAGACGATGCCAGGGCAGCATCACAYGTGAACAGCGACTGTGTGGCGCACAATAAAAGTTGCTGAAAAAACAGTGGACACGCGGTGCCTAAATGCCTAAACCTCTAAACTAGTGTATGTTTGCAATAATAATAAATCCCCCTCCACAATTTAAGAAATARCCCACAAACTGCAGCTTTCGTTTGAGTTAGTTATCATAATTTTTAGTCAGATCACATATTAAACAATGTGTGTTTCGAAATCATGCGATTACATGCATATTAATAAAAAAATATAAAAAATAAAATAAAAATTAGGATATCGCAAATAAACTTTTAAATTGAGCAAATACAAATACAAAATACAAATTACATTTGAAATATAAATTGATATG